GGTCTCTTTTTGCTACTCGGCGCTGCACTAATTCAACTGATAATTGCGCGGTCATGCAATGCTCCACCCAAACGAACTTTACGTCCTTTTTTCACACAAATAGAGCCTTCTTTCGGTGGTATTTGATCATCTGTGTGCTTTTTATTTTTCACGCTATAAAACAAAAAAAGGCCAAAAATTTTGAAGAAAAACAATATTTTTTACTTTCAGCTATAAAAAATATATAGTAAACTCAAAGTTGGTTATAAATTTAGGCCAAAATGTATTCTGCTCCATGTTTTTGGTAAAAAAAATCTCAATGAGTGTATATTGATTGCTTTGTGTGGAAGTTATTGCGTCTACAAACTATGGTATAAATACTGCAATTTACGCCATTTTTCTGCTATACAGCGCTGTGCTAGTTTAATGGACAATTGCGCGGTCATGCAGTGCGGTACATAAATGAAATTTACATCCTTTTTTTCCCCACAAATTGAGCTTTCTTTTGGTGGCATTTGATTGCCTGTGTGGTTTTTATTTTTTGCGCTATAAAAAAAAAGGCTGACAATTTTGAGGGAAAAAAAAAAAAATATTTTGGACTTTTTGCTATAAAACATGTCCAGTAAAAAAAAAAATGCAAAAATCAAATTTAGCCATAAATTTCTGCCAAAATGCATTCTGCGACATGTCTTTGCTAAAAAAAAAAAAAAAAAAAGCAATACGTGTAAATTAATTGGTTTACGTGAAAGTTATAGCGTTTACAAATGGCGGGAAAGATACTGGGATTTTTAGGTTTTTTTTAATACTAATAATGGCGGCGATCAGCGACTTATGGTGGCGATCAGGGACTTATGGCAGCGACCAGCGACTTATGGCGGGACTGTGGCGGACATTCTGACATTGGGGGGTACTGACTTGGGGTCACTGACATCCCCAAAAACACTAATACAGTGATCAGTGCAAAAAAAAAAAAAACACTGACACTGTACTAATGGCACTGGGGAGGAAGGGGTTAACTTTATTTTGCAGGGAAGGGTTATCTGTGTGAGGGAGAGTGTTTTACTGTGTGCTGCATGGGACACCGCTGATCGAGAGAGAAACTCTTCTTTCTTGATCAGCTCGTCCTCGAGCTGTCAGGGAAGTGACAGACAGCACAGCTACTGCAGCTGTGCTGTCTGTCACTGTTTGCCGCCGATCGCCAGGAAACAGCCAGTAAGGACCGGCTGTGACCCGGCGACTGACATCCGTGGTGGTGATCAGTGGGACAGATAGGGCGACGGTGCGCCTCGCGCGCACCCCCTATCTGTTTACAAAACACATGTTTTAAAATGTGGTTTTGCCTGCCCGTGCCGCCCTGCCGCCGTATTTCTACAGTGGCAGGGCGGCAAGTGGTTAATGTTGATAAATGTAAGGTTATGCACTTGGGGGCTAAGAATATGCTTGCATCATACATACTAGGGAGGTACAATTGGGGGAATCAATGATGGAGAAGGATCTGGGAGTTCTGGTAGATCACAAGCTTTATAATGGCATGCAATGCCAAGCTGCGGTTTCTAAAGCGAGCAAAATCCTCTCTTGTATTAACCTTTTCCCATCCGGCCCATGTTGATAAACAGCTGGACAGGAGTGCTGCCATTTCTAAATGTCCCCCTCCATCCATTGCCTGTGCGTGTTCCCCGGGAGCGCGGGGAACTGCGATTGGTGCCCACTGTGTCTTCCAGACCATGCGGAACACAGATCGCTGTACTGGACCTCTCTGTGAGGTCCTGATTCATGTGATCACTGATTGGCTATTAAGTGATCACATTTACAGTAGTAAACAATATGTCACTTCCTGACATAGTTGCTTACTACGTGTGAAATCTGTGAATGATCACAGAGGTCACATGGTACAAGGCTATTCACAACAGCCTTGTACCATGTGACAAGCTGTGACCAATCACAGCTCGCACAGTATTTCTCAATGGCTGCAGGAATGCAGCCAGAGAGAAGCAGAAATCACTGCTTTTACATCCTTCATGGGTATAAAAGCAATCAGTATAAAAAAAGAAAAAATAAATCTCCATCACTCCCCACAAGTAGAAACTATGGTGACACTGTACTGCTAGGGTGATAATGCGTAAAAAAAAAGCATAAATAATAATATAAAAAAATTAAATAAAAATGTAAAAAAATGTTTTTGAAAAATTATAATTTTTGGTTATAAACTAATTTGTTTTTGTTTTTTTTTCTAAAAAGATAGATGAATACATTATGGCCAAGATTTAAGAAAGATTATTTATTTGCAAAATTTTTGGTCTTTTTTCATTTATATAGCAAAAAAAAATAAAAATCCCAGTGGTGAATAAATACAACAAAAGAAAGTTGTAAACTGGAAGCAGGTTAAAGTGTCTGGACTTGAAGTGGTTAAAAGAGGTATAGACTCCAGAGAGAGAGAGAGAGAGAGATCATTTTACCCCTGTACAAATCATTAGTAAGACCTCATCTGGAATATGCAGTTGAGTTTTGGGCACCAATTCATAAAAAAGAACATTAGGGAACTGAAGAAAGTACAGAGAAGGGCAACCAAACTAATAAGAGGCATGAAGAAGCTCAGATATGAGGAAAGATTAGAGGAACTAAATGTATTCTCTCTTGAGAATAGGAGATTAAGGGGGGATATGATCAACATGTATAAATACATCAGTGGTTCATATAGTGAACTCGGTGTAGAGCTATTTACCCTGAGGTCATCACAGAGGGCAATGGGGCGCGCTTTACGTCTGGAGGAAAAAAATGTAATCTCCAAACACAGAAAGGTTTCTTCACAGTGAGAGCTGTGAAAATGTGGAATAGACTCCCTCAAGAGTTGGTTCTGGCCAGCTCCGTGGATTGCTTTAAAAAAGGCCTGGATTCTTTCTTAGATGCACAGAATATAACTGGATACTAACATTTATAGGTAAGGTTGAACCAGGGAATATCCGATTGCTTCTCGGGGGATCAGGAAGGAATTTTTTCCCCTGCAGGAGCAAATTGGATCATGCTTTTCTGGGGGGGGGGGTTACCTTCCTCTGGATCAACTGTGGGTATACGATTATAACTTTTTTTTTATGGTTGAACTGGATGGACTTTTGTTTTTTTTTTTCAGCCAGACTAACTATGTAACTCCTGGACTGAAAAGTTTGAGTCTGGGAACAAAGAGTTTGAAATTTCTCCTGGGGAAGAAAAACTTTAGATTTAGACTCCAGACTAGATATTCCAAATGATGAGTCTGTTCCAGCTTTATTTATGAAGTTTCAGGATCCAGCAAAACATCTGCAAGTTTAAGGCTATGCTGTACACCAAAGCTCACGCTGGGTGTTTGCTCAGCAACTGATTGTCTAGATATCCCACCCTGGTGGATGTCTGGGAGTGCAGAAAAGCTAGTAAAAGGGCCAGCACTTTGATAATACAGCCAACGATAGGCCAATAGGATATTTATTAGGAGGCCACGATTGCCACAGTTTGGTCACACGTTGCCACAGTGGTTGACCAGTGGATTTTTTGTCATGCCTGTCACTTTTGTCCTTTGAATCCTATGAGTATTCATTTGGCTTTTTGGTTTCTTTGATCAAGAAATCTTGGGTAATGTACTAGTCGTTTTTTTTTCTAAGCTAGCTCCTTTTGCTTAAAAATGTGGGTATTTTTGCTAATGGTGGCATCCTTAATGAGGGCATCAAGGGAAGCCTCGAAGGGTATGCAAAGTAAGCACTTTTTGCATGTGGACTCCTCAGCCCAACACTGACTCAGAAGACATGACTGCGTCTCTCACCGTTACCTTTCAGTTAAAACAAATTGAGCACATTGAAGATCAGATCACAGCCCCGATGAAGGGGGAGTGTGTTTGGCCCCTGAAACACATTGGCTTTATTCTGCTATGCATCAATTTTATCATTGAAGTACCTTGGACTCTTGGATATTTGTTTGGCATTCTCATTGGATTGTTTGTGTGTAGATCCACAGAGGGGGGCAGCCTCCTAAAACATGTACAAGGCTGGAAAACACGTGTAAGGTGCAAAGAAGTTGTCAGGATTTTTCCTGTTTCCATTAGGGAAGATTGCAAACAGCCAGTACAGCAGGGCTGTTCCCCATGCATGTAGAAGCAGACATGCTGCACTTCACGGTAGAGGCAACTCAGGGCTTCAGACAAGTGAACTACTTTGGTAGCAGAAAGGGTTCAGGTGGCCAATAGGTGACCATGTGTTTTATCCACACAGCATACTCATAGAGTGAGTTTAAAGAGTTCAGTCATACACTGATGCTATGCCACAGTTCTGGACCTAGAATACATTCCATGGCTCACTTTTACAAGTATATGCAGGTCTAGAAAGTGCCACAATGCAGAGTCCAATGCTAAGAGGTAACATTCCAGGGTTGGCCTGCACATCCAGTCCAGTTGGGTTTGAGTATGGCACTCCAAAGTCAGGCTGCAGATATCTGCATTAAAGACCAACTCACCATTTTTCTTCCAATTTAAACCAGGAAATAAGTATAGTAGCGTTCATCTCCTTGTTAATAGGATAATTGTGTATGTAGCCTGATTATCCCAGGATGAATACTATTGGCATATTTACTGTATACAGCAGAGAATGTGACATTCATCACACATTCACAAGTGGTTACTAATTCCCTGTAATTTGAAACATATGCACATTCACTGCATTTTAAGTATGCCCCTAAGTGCCTAGAAAAAATATCCCTCTACTAATGCACTGTTGTTGCTGCAGCTTTCTATACTGATTGGGAATATGATTTACAAATTTTCATGGTCATTGTCATATCTTATATTTCATCCCTGACCTTTTTGGTCAAAGCAGGTAGCAAAGCTGCAAAACCCATTTGCAGAGATGTTGAGATGTCTCCAGAAGACATAACATTTGTATGAGTGTATCTATTGCACAATAAAATCCAAGACACCCTTTATGTAAGTGATACATACAATACATAAAAAAAATGAATATAGTAGCTTTATCAGGTATTCTTTTTTTTTTATTTTTGTACAGGGAGAAACAGAAGAATGTATCCTTTTTTCAAGAAATATGGGTAGGTATGACACTTTCTCATACACACCTAGAAGACATACTTGGGGCTGGCATGATAGACGCAGGCACCCTAATGAAGGCTGCAGAAGAAAATGCTATAGTGTTTCCTGGGAACCACGTTGCTGTAAAAATCACTATGGAGGAGATTGCCATGGTAAGTGATATCTCATTATCAATTATAATTAAATACAACCTTCCAATCTGGACTGCATAAATCCAGTTAGTCGTTTATCTTTTATCCATTGTATTTTTTTTATGTATAAAAAGCAAATGTATTTTTTTTTTAGTACCTAACTTTCTGTAGACCTTGACCCAAAAAAGGTCTCCTCTGGTCTAACACACCCCTTACACGGTGCTCCAAGTAATAAGCACATATTACAAGCTGACATAGCTGGTAACATAGACCTCACCTACTCCTTCTGCTTTTAGGTGTACACTTTATCCAGTCAGCTGTAAACCTTGATGTTATTAATTGTACTGTATAGTAACAGTGTACACACCACAGCGCTTTCTAAACCCTACTTAACCACTAGGGGACCACCCACAGTACATTTACTGCAGCAAAGCGGCCCCTGTATGCAGGATCACGTTTATAAACATCATCCCGTTTATATGGTAGGGGGTGCATGCCCGCCCTGCCCGTGATACCGATCGCGCCGCGGGTGTCAATCAACGGGTCCCGGATGGTGATTATCCGCCAGGTCCCGGCGATTGCCGGCAAACACTGACATGGAACACAGCTGCATTGTTTTCAATGCAGCTCTGTCAGTTTGCAGCACACTGTTCCGGAGAGCAGAGCTTAGCTTTCCAGGACAGTGTGTTCCTGTGAAGCACCCCCCCCCCCCCACACACACACACACACACACACACACACTAGTAAAACACTCCCCCCTCACACAGTGCAAAAATTATGAGTGCAGCGCTAATTAGTATCTAATAGAACCGTAATACAATATATACTCAATCCCCAAAAAAAATCCAAGATACTCAATACATATACAGTGTCATGCATGTAATCCCTCATGGGGAATATCTCGTGCAAAAACGTGAAAATAAAGTAATATATACTATAATAACATATATACTAATAATAAACAGTGCCACACAAAAAGTGCACAAAGGAATGAACGATAGTTCAAATACGAAAAAAGTCCAAAGTTAATAATAATAATACTGATGATGCTGTGCTTAATGATGAACTTCACACTCCACTCTTCATGCAAAATTATGTGCAGTGTACGTGATTCACACGTGACAATCCTTAACAGCCAAAATGCCCCCTCACCTCCTTCCTTAGACCCCAAGGGGCCAGCACGCTTTCAGGATCACACGATCCTATCAGTATGGATCACTCTCTAGAAAATATCTTCCTCCTCCAGCGTCCACCAGTTTAGCAGCCAGCTCCTCCCAGGGTCATAGTAAGACACAAGCAGAGACCCTCCATAGTGCAACCAGTAATTTTATTGGTAATAGGTATAAAAAGTAGATTTCCACTCACAAAACAATGAATCTTCCAGCCTCCTACCACATGCTAACTGGACATGTTTAATAAAAAGTCCAAAATGTTTTTTTTCTCAAAATTGTCGGCCTTTTTTTTTATAGCGCAAAAAATAAAAAACGCACAGGCAATCAAATACAAACCGAAAGAAAGCCCAATTCATGGGGAAAAAAAAGGATGTAAATTTCATTTTAGTGCAACATTGCATGACCGTGCAATTGTCAGTTAAAGTGACGCAGTGCCATAACACAAACCGCTTATGTAACTGCTTCCTGACCGCCCTATAGCATAAATCTTGCTACAGGGCGGCGCAGGTGCGCAAAACCACATATATATACATGCTTCGTGCTCCTGTGGATTTCACGCCCCTCCCAAATAGCATCAGATTGCCAGTCCGTACACCAGTCATCACATTTAACCCCTCGATTGCCAGGAAGATGCTCATACACAATAAACCTCCATTGCTAGTATAGTGTCTGAACAGATCAATATCTTTGATCAGATTATTATTATTATACAGGATTTATATAGCGCCAACAGTTTGCGCTGCGCTTTTACAATATGAGGGAGACAGTACAATTACAATACATTTCAGTACAGAACGAATAGGAGGGCCCTGCTCGTGAAGCTTACAATCTAAAGGAAGGAATAATAATAACAATTGTAAGCGCCAAAGGGCAGGGCCCTCCTAACCCTCTTGCATTGAACTGTATTGTTGCTGTATTATCTCCCTTTATATTGTAAAGCGCTGAGCAAACTATTGGCGCTGTATAAATCCTGTATAATAATAATAATACCAGCACTGCAGAATGACTTGGCGATGTGGCGATTCCCATAATTGCAGTACAAACTGGTGCGGTGGTGAGCACAAGTAACCACCAAGAATTTGCACACAGGCCTGTAGAGCCCCTAGTATCCTTCTGGATGTGCTTTCAAATCCCGATTGGCAGCCCACAAATTCTGCAGCACCCATACTTCCCCCATTCACTGCCCAACCCGGAATTCAGGTGGAAATAGCAAATTTAACTACTCCCCTTGATTTTTTTGGAGCTGTTTTTCACAGAAGATATGTATGCATTGATTGTGGATCAAAGCATTTTATATGTACAACATTTTATTGCCGCCAACCCAAATTCAAACCTTGCCAGACCATTCGCATGGAAACATTACGGTTTCCGAATTTAAAATTTTTTTTGGACCTAACCTTCAACATGGCCATAACTAAAAAAAATGAATTGCGGTTGTATTAGTCCACAACCCAATTCATCATATGCCCGTGTTCTCTGCTGCCATGGCCAGGCATAGATATGAGAGTATAATGTGTTTTATGCATTTCAACAACAATACACTCTGTTGTCCTCTGGGTGACCCTGAATTTGACCGGCTCCACAAAATTCAGCCCCTCACAAATCACCTTAACCAAAATTTTGCAGATGTCTATACTCCCCAGCAAAAAATCTGCATTGATGAGTCCCTCATTAATTTTTTTGGCCACTTTGCATTCAAACAATTTCTCCCCAGCAAGCTTGCCAGATATGGGGTCAAGATGTAGAAGACCTGCGAGAGGACAACAGGCTATACTTATAAGTTTCGGATTTACGAGGGAAAGCGTTGCACTATTTAGACATTTGTACAATCTTGGAACTGGTGCATGTGGCACCGTGTGACCTAATGTGGGCCCACTATTAGAAGTGGGTGGATGGTGGGCATACCACACACTTTTTCTGGCAGAGATTTCTTCTCTTTTTTTCATTCAGTCCACAGGCTGCATACAAAAAAAAAGAACATGGCATATACAGTAATGCCTCTGTTAACGTATTTTTTGGTTTACAAATGAAAATCCATTGAAAATAATGCCTCAGTTTACAAATTTTTTTACACAATATGAAGTTTATGTCGGTGCTGATTTTTAAATGCAATTGCCGTCTTTTTTTTCTTCACTATAGCTCACATTAGCTGTCACTTTCCCAGGAGCTAAAGGATACTTTGTATCTGTTAAGAAACTGAAAGGAAACATTGTTTCTTTTAACTTGGGGAAATAAACTAAAAGAAACTTTCTCTCTTTTAGTTGGAGGGGGAAAGTGACAGCTGAATATCTGAACTACTGTATAGTGAAGAAAAAACAAACAAACAAACTGGTAATTACATTTAACCACATGCCGCCCAGCAACTGTAGAAATACGGCGGCAGGGCGGCACGGCTGGGCAAAAGCACGTTTTAAAACGCGCTTTTGCAAAACAGGTAGGAGCGCGCACGAGGAGCGCCGCCGCCCTACCTGCACCACCGATCCCGGCTGCGGGTGTCAGTCGCCGGGTCACAGCCGGTCATTACCGGCTGTGTCCCGCCGATTAGCGGCAATCACTGACAGAGAGCAGGGCTGCAGTAGCTCTGCTCTCTGTCAGTTTCCTGACAGCCTGATCGGGAGAGAAGAGTTTATCTCTCCCGATCAGCGTTTCCCTGTGCAGTACACACCCCCGCCCCCTAGTAAAACACTCCCCTCACACAGTTAACCCTTTCAGTGAATAAAAAAGTTAACCCCTTCCTCCCCAGTGCCATTAGTACAGTGTCTGTTTTTTTTTTTTTTGCATTGATCACTGTATTGGTGTCACTGGGGATGTCAGTGACCCCAAGTCAGTTCTCACCCAGTGTCAGAATGTCCACCGCAGTCCCGCCATAAGTCACTGATTGCCGTCATAAGTCGCTGATTGTCGCCATAAGTCACTGATTGCCGCCATAAGTCGCTGATCGCCGCCATTATTAGTATAAAAAAAAAATTAAAAATCCCAGTATCTTTACCGCCATTTGTAAACGCTATAACTTTCACGGAAACCAACAATTTACATGTATTGGGGTTTTTTTTTAGCAAAGACATGTCGCAGAATGCATTTTGGCCACAATTTATGATGAAATTTGATTTTTACATTTTTTTTACTGGACATGTTTTATAGCAAAAAGTCCAAAATATTGGTTTTTTTTTTTCAAAATTGTCAGCCTTTTTTTTTATAGCGCAAAAAATAAAAAACGCACAGGCAATCAAATACCACCGAAAGAAAGCTCAATTTGTGTGAAAAAAAGGACATAAATTTCATTTATGTACCGTATTGCATGACCGCACAATCGTCTGTTAAACTAGCGCAGCGCTGTATAGCAAAAAAATGGCGCAAATTGCAGTATCTATACCATAGACGCTATAACTTTTACACAAAGCAATCAATATACGCTTATTGGGATTTTTTTTACCAAAAACATGTAGCAGAATACATTTTGGCCTAAATTTATAACCAACTTTGAGTTTACTATATATTTTTTATAGCTGAAAGTAAAAAATATTGTTTTTTTTCTTCAAAATTTTTGGTCTTTTTTTGTTTATAGCGTGAAAAATAAAAAGCGCACAGGTGATCAAATACCACCAAAAGAAAGTTCTATTTGTGTGAAAAAAAGGACGTAAATTTTGTTTGGGTACAGCATTGCATGACTGCACAATTATCATTTGAATTAGTGCAGCGCCGAGTAGCAAAAAAGAGGCCTGGTCATTAAAGGGGGTAAATCCTCAGGAGGGTAAGTGGCTAAAAACTGGCACCTGACAGCTGAGTGTAAAAGAATTTCTGGCAATTCAAAAATATTTTTTTTTAATTGCCAGCAATTCTTTTACATTC